CAAACCGGAAAGTGAAGTGGAAAGTTGGGTGTATAATTGCGAGGCCAATGCAAGCTCCTCTGGATTTCGGGCTTGAGTGAAGAGCTGGCATAAAGCTTCAGTGGCTATGCTTGGGCCACCATAGACTGACAGCAGACACAGGAGCTGGTGCAACCAAAGGTGCCGCTTCCTCTCAAGTCGAAGAGTTTCAGCACACAGATCAGCAATGTGTGCCTGGAGCTCCTCAAGAAATGGGATCACTTGGGGCATTGCCGGAGAAGTAGAGGACTGTGGAAAAGGTTCATCACCGTCCGGTCGGTTGTGCACCAGTTTGTGAAGATGCAGCAGAAGCATTTGCAGTAATCGGTCACAGGCCTCTCGAATACCATCATGGGGAGAGGGTGTAGGACCTGATATGATCACTGAAGAGGGTGTGGCCGTGTCTGCAAGAAACTTCAGCACTCTTGCTCCACCTGAAGGGCTTTGGCTTATGAGGTGCACGGCTAGACCCAGCATATTCTCAAGCTCCTCCCGAGGCAAAGCCTGGAATTGGGCTTGTAATTGAATTAGGACAGGTGGTCTGAGAAACTCAACAAGCTCTGTAGAAACGGCACCAAGGAGAGTTGGGGAAAGAGCAGCGAGTTGAAGAAGGAATGGTACAGTTGCCCTACGGAGATGAGGGGAATTTTCCCATCCACCTGCTCCAGATGTAAGCTGAGGTACATTTTGTGGAGGCACAGACAGACTGTCCTGAAACATCCTGAGAAGCTCTTTCTTGATGCTATCTGAATGTCTGGAGGCCAGGTGTCCAAGGATACCAACTACTGAGCCAATTTTAGGGACTCTGCTACTCTTGTCTATTGCCTGCTGTTGGCTGATCTTCTCAGCAGAGGAATATCCGTGTGCATAGAAGTCTTTGAGACCACAAGCTAAAACCCTGCTAATGATAGTACCAGGAAAAGCAGAACCAATATGGGCGACGACCCAGTCAAAATGAGGAGAATGCTGGACTGAGGTGTCCAACAAGGCATCCACACATGCATCGGGACACCAGGCCAACATGGCCGCTAGACACTGGGAGTAGCACTCCATTAGTGAGCGAGTGGCTGCACATGACATCCAAAGCTGCAGCAGCTCATTCAGGCTGGAGGAGTGAGGAGCAGCCCGTCGTCCTGCATGCTTGCTGCTAAGCTGACCAAGGAGGTCTACAGCCCAGCTAGACACAAGGGGAGCCCAAGCTTTCGGACTCAGCTTGATAAATTCAGAGAGGACTGCGTGGACTTCTTTAATAACATCCTCTAAATTTGATATGCTGACGCTGGCTCCTCCACTTGCACTGTTACCACCATTTTCACCCTCTGCCTCCAGGTCCTGTAGAAAGGAAGCAACGTATTCATCATACACTCCCCTTAAATGCTCCAAGACGGCTTCGCGGCAGGCTGGGACAGTTCGAAGGAGGCGTATTGCACAGCGAGCATGATCCCGAACACTGAGTTTACGTCCTTGTGTCTGGTCGACTCCACTGATGAAAGCCTTGATTTCTAATGACAGCTCTTGAGGACTGATGGAAGAAAGAAACAAAGTTGGTGAAACACAAAAAATATTTATTTAGTGTATATGCTAGGAATTAACTAAATACGTTTCATTCTGTTTTGCTGTCTGAATCATATTAGATTGACAAAAGTGATTTCATGTACATAATAACCTAATTATTTACAGGAAACATACAGCAGGGGGGGGAATACATTTATGATTGGTTAAAATAACCAAAAAAAAAAAAGAGTGCAATTAATTTTACAGAAAATACGTAAACAACGTTTTAACTTTAGAAGAGTTATTATTATTTATTTTTGCCAGTTGTCACATTCTACAAAAACAACTTTCAATAGCCCCTTTCACACATACAGACCTTTCCAGAAAATTACCGGCAATTTTCCGGAAAGGTTGTATGTGTGAACAGGCCCTTTTTGAAAATACCGGTAAATTTGTTCTGGCTATTTTCCGGAAAGAGAATTTGTAACATTACCGGTAATTTGGCGGAATGCTGCGCTGTGTGAATGCAGAAGGAAGATTGCCAGAAAGACCGCGTACACGTCTAGAACGTGCTGACGTGAGACGTCTACTTTAGTCAATCGGAACAGTCAGACGCATTCACGTGCGCGCGGTTTATGAGATTAAAAGCCTTTGAATATTTTTCCAGACACATTAGCTGTTAGTCAGATAACGTTTCTATGTTCCTTCTTAATGCCAACTGTGTAAATAATTATCGCTAAGATGTTTATGATAATCCGTTGTTTGTTTACCTTCAAGCTTTGCGTGTGCCCGTGAGCGCCAGCACACACACATATCATGAACATCTCGACATGCGAAAGTGTTTCTCTATGTTTTCATTGGAGTTGTACTCAATACTAATCCATCCGAAGAGTTTGTAATGTAGTCAAATGTTTACAAACACAAGCGCAGCCGTTTAGAGGTAATTTCTGGTTAATGATGTCAGAATTTACCGGCATTTTGCGATGGATGTGTGAATGCTCTTTTCCGGAAAAATTCCGTAACGTCCTCGCCTCTGTGAACAGCGCTTTTTTGAATATACCGGTAAAGTCTTTCCAGAAATTTTCCGGATATTTACCGGTATCACTGTGTGAAAGGGGCTAATGTCATTAGACAGACATATAATAATTATCCATCTCTCTCTCTCTATATATTAGGGCTGTGCAATTAATCGAAAATCCGATTTCGATTCTTCTAACGATTTGTTTCTTCTAACACTTCTAACGATTATGAAAAACCATTGATCGATATAAACGAGTATTCCATTATTTACCGCCCCCTTTTTAGTTGTACACATTTGTTGCTCTTAAAAGTGGAAAAGACCGCATGCTTATGTGTGTATGTGTGGCGCGCAGCCACAGTAGCATACGGTCAGCATTTGGTCTCATTCGCACACTGTGACGAGCAGAGCGAACACATCTAAAGTCATCTTAATGTGAGCGCTTTAATGTTCAAATAGGTGTCAAAACGCAGTATTTAGTGATTATTTATATTAACCATCATTTGTGTGATAAACAAATGAGTAAAGGATCAAAAGACACGTGAAAGCGAAAACATTAAAGTGACAGAGCAATATTCCTGCTGCCGCCTGTTTTTATCATTATTAATAAAACAACAAGGAGAAAATCCCTCGCTGCTCTTGACTGAAGGACTTTTGTAGCTAAAGTGTTTTTCTTACAGTTAAGATGCTCAAAGCACAGTTTGTTTCATATTTTTATTCTATTGTATTTATTTCTCTTTCCTTTGTAGGGAGGAAAATAACTGTATATGAAGTTGAAATCAGAATTATTAGCCCTCCTGAATATTAGCAACCTTTTCCCACCAATTTCTGTTTAATGGAAAGAAGATTTTTAAGAACTTATTTCTGAACATAACAGTTATAACATAATCATTTCTAATAACTGATTTATTTTATCTTTGCTATGATGACAGCACATAATATTTTATGAGATATTTTTCAAAATACAAGCATTCAGATTCAAAGTGCGATTCAAAGGCTTAATTGGGGTAATTAGACAAGTCATTGTATAACAGTAGTTTCTTCTGCAGACAATCAAAAATATATATTGCCTAAAGGAGCTAATAATATTGACCTTAAAGGAGGTTTCAAATTATTTAAACCTGCTTTTTTTCTAGCCAAAACAAAACAAATAAGACTTTCTTCAGAAGAAAAAAAATATTACAGGCATCCGCTGCGTAAAAACTTGCTGGATAAGTTGGCGGTTCATTCCGCTGTGGCGACCCCGGATTAATAAAGGGACTAAGCTGACAAGAAAATGAATGAATGAATATATATATATCATTTGAAACCAATAACGAGTAAATGCAGTGAAATTAAACATATTTAAAAAGTAATCTTCATAGCTGTATCTACTTTCCCATTTCCAATAACTTGATATAAGAATATAATGTCAAAATATGGTTGAAAACAACATAGTTCTCCTATCTATAAAAGAAAAGGTGATTGATCATACTAAATTTAATTATATTTTTAAAAACACATATATACTCTTTTATACTGATAATGCAGCAATGCAAACTAGAACTACATCTATAAACTGAAACACCGTTTATAAGCTAATAATAACAATCATACTTGTATTGCTCACCTGTAATTGTTTGGAGTGTGGCTATGAGTTTGTATGCCTGGTAAGGCATTCCCCTCGAACATCCCAGACATCTTTAATGAGCTTACGCTAAATATTCCATGCAGAGTATTATATTGCCATAAATAATAACAACAACAACGTCGATTTATGATAGGAAAGTTGACTATTTACAACTTATACCAGTTTCAGCCCCGTTTCATTGAACGATGCACCAGACACCGGAAGCTCTCGTACTTTCTTTCTCTCGCCGCGGGAAAAAATCCGGTTTGGTCACACATACCGCCCTCTGTAGTTTAGGAGAGCTAAAATCTGGGTAGTAAAGACACATACACACAAAACATTCACCATTCAAAATGGAGTGAGCTCGTTTGTCGATGAAAACACACCGTATATTTCTAATATGATACTAATAAGCACATTTATGAAGGCAACAAAACTGAGATACTCAGTGAGATATAACGTATAATTAATGTGATATAATGTTCATACAAGTGTTGGGTTAAAGGTTGGGGTGGGGTAGTCGTTAATAAAATACAATTAATAGGGAATTTAATAAATAATATTAATCATTTTCGTTGACTTTAGGTATAGCAACAACTGATCTGATATATCTGATCTAACAACAACCGTGTAACAGGTGCGTGACCTGTTGAAATAGTTCGCCCGGGCTCTTAAAACCTATTGTCATCTGATCAGTCATCTGACAAAACCTGAAATAAAGTGAACAAAAGAGATGTACATAAAACTAAATACTTTTACAATAGTTTCCGAGGAAAACCAGCCCATAAGCGCGTCGCTTACAGAAGGACTGTGATTGGTCGAGCAGCGAGATCTATTTATTCTGTGGAGTCTATGCTTACTTGCTTCAGAAACGAAACAACTTCGACAGACATCATTGTAAGTATAAGATATTCATTCTTTAAGACCACAGTGTTGTTAAATACAAAATTTATTACTTAATAAGCAAGAATATTAAGCGCACTTGTTTGATTTTTGTTAGTTTTTGTTGTCGAGTGTTAGCTCCTTCAGTAAATTTATCTGTTTTCGATGTATTTGATACTTAAATTCAGCTAAATATGGTAAAAAAAAAAAGTTTTGTTATGTTTCTAATAGGACTGAAAAGCAAAACACAAGTTTGAGATCGCCATGAACAAGGTATTTAAAAACATTTAATACCTTTTAACTACTCAGAAGAATGGAAGATAACATGAATATATATATTTCTGATGTTATTATTGACAAATTCACAGTTTAATACTAAACTGTAAATAGATGAATACAGAGTCTGAAAAGTTTAATATATATAAGTGTACTTTAAAGTATTGCTTAGATTGTTTATGGCAGCAAAAATAGCTAAATACTTCATTAAAACCTCTCTGAAACCTGCAGACTGGCTTTGCTAATATGTTTACAGTTTCACTTTTAAGTACAAATGGAGTTGGTTTATGTTAATTAAACTGTCTTAATAATTGTAGACAAACATAAGCCTCTGTATTTTTTATTAAGCCTGATATTGTCATCTAGTTTGATAAGAAACCACAACCCGGAGACCTCATTGAAATCTTTCGAGGCATTTATCAGCACTGGGCTATTTATGTCGGAGATGGTTATGTGATTCACCTGGTTCCACCCTGTGAGTTTTGTTGTTTTATGTTTAACATGCTTTACATACTGCAGAGCTTGTTTTACCTGGATCAAGTCTTCTGATTGTTCTCATTTCTGATTTTATGTCTTTACAGCTGAATATGCTCATGCCGGGGCCAACAGTATGATGTCTGTGCTACACGAAAGAGCCAAAGTGAAGAAGGAAAACCTTTATGAAGTAGTTGGCGATCATGATTACCGTATCAACAACTTTCTGGATGACAAATATGAGCCTCGTCCGATTCATGAGATTCTGCAGGACGCCTACAGTGTTTTAGGACAAGAACGTTCGTATAGTGTGTTCAGTGGGAACTGTGAGCACTTTGTTACCGAGCTGAGATACGGAAAGGCTCACTCTCGACAGGTACAGTTGATTGGGATGACATACAGTTGAAGTCAAAATTATGAGCCCTCCTGTACATTATTTTTTTATTTGCTAAACAGAGCAAGGAATTTTTTTACAGTATTTCCTATAATGTTTTTTCTTCTGGAGAAAGTCTTATTTGTTTTAATTCGGCTAGAATAAAAGCAGTTTACATTTTTTAAAACCATTTTAAGGTCAATAAAATTAGCACTAAGCAATATTTATTTTTGGTTATCTACAGAACGGCGAAGCAGTGGCGCAGTAGGTAGTGCTGTCGCCTCACAGCAAGAAGGTTGCTGGGTCACTGGTACAAGCCTCGGCTTAGTTGGCGTTTCTGTGTTGAGTTTGCATGTTCTCCCTGCGTTCGCGTGGGTTTGCTTCAGTTACCCCCACAGTCCAAAGACATGCGGTACAGGTGAATTGGGTAGGCTAAATTGTTCGTAGTGTATGAGTGTGTGTGTGGATGTTTCCAAGAGATGGGTTGCAGCTGGAAGGGCATCCGCTGCGTAAAAACTTGCTGGATAAGATAGCGGTTCATTCCGCTGTGGCGACCCCGGATTAATAAAGGGACTAAGCCGACAAGAAAATGAATGAATGAATGAATGCCTACAGAACAAACCATCATTATACAATGATTTACCTAATTACCCTAGTTAAGCCTAGTTAGTAATATCTAGTAAAATATTATTCTGTTTAATGACAAAGATAAAAGAAATCAGTTATTAGAAATTAGTTGTTTAAACTATGATGTCTAAAAATGTTTTCTGTTAAAAAGAAATTAAGAAAAAATATACAGGGGGCTAATAATTCAGACTTCAACTGTACAGTATGCAAGGTATAATTGACCAGACCCCCTAGTTTTTCATGATTTTTTGTTATAAAAATGACTGATGATTTTGATAATTCTCAGAATTTCGAAGACAATTTTGCGACTTAAAAATATGTAAATATTAAAAATTATATATATATCTTATTTACCCTTATAGGTGGCCTACTGTGTTAGGTGTGCAATCGGACACTATGACACAAATCATAAAAAATAAGGCTTCGTTATTTAGTCTCTCGCCAAGACAAGATCTAAAACAGTAGGGATTAAGCCAAATGAAGTTTGTATAACTCTTATTTTTATCCACAATCTTACTTTCTTAGATTCCAGTCCCTGGAGCATCTGACATCATGTACCTCACTCAAGACCTGTGTTAGGGCTTTCCCTACCGTATTACACCTAAGACACGGATTGCCGTAAAACTCGTCATTGGCAGGGAAGCGTTTTCTCTCGTTAACTGCATGAAAAGAGTTAAACGAAATTATTTATCGATTTGACGATCTTCATCGGTTTGTTCCATTGCTCTTTTTGTTAAATGTTTGCTCACTTTCTTTTGCAGTCTTAAGCGCGTCAAGCGCACAATTCACGCCACAGGATGTCTAATCCCATCTTTGCATGTAAATCACTCACTTTTCATCCGCGTCTGCTCACTGCACAGGCTAAAAACTCCCACTCCAACTGCAAAAATGTGCAACTCTTTGTTGATCTTGCGTTGGTTTCAGCGATCGCGTAATCATGAAAAACTGGGGGTTCTGATTGACAACAGGCCATTGAATTATTAGAAAAAAAAAACACACCTGAGGTGCTGATGTGGTCATGGTGAAAAGCAGTTGTAATGTAATGTAATGTAATGTAATGTGTATTTATATAGCGCATTTATTGTGTATGGCCATACACCCAAAGCGCTTTACAATCATGAGGGGGGTCTCTCCACACCACCACCAGTGTGCAGCATCCACTTGGATGATGCGACGGCTGCCACAGGACAACGGCGCCAGTGCGCTCACCACACACCAGCTATTAGTGGAGTGGAGAGACAGTGATAGAGCCAATTCGGTGGAAGGGGATGATTGGGAGGCCATGATCGTAAGGGCCGATAGAGGGACTTTGGCCAGGACACCGGGGTTACACCCCTGCTCTTACACGAGAAGTGCCATGGGATTTTTAATGACCACAGAGAGTCAGGACCTCGGTTTAACGTCTCATCCGAAAGACGAAAGTTGTACATTATTTTGCAATAATGGGATCTATGCCGAAGCATGCTAATAGGACTTTTAATTTGCCATTAACCTGGGTTAAGCGCTTCCGGCGAATTGAATGGCAATGCAAAATCCGGTGCATTTAAGGTCTGTTTTTTTTTAAAAACAGCGATCTCCACTGGCTGAGTGATATCCGAATTAAAGTGGGTCTCAGTTTGTACAAGAAGCACTGCATTAAATTACATTTTCCCCGCCATATCTTTATAATATGAGCATGTGTTTACCCCAGTATATTCAAGGAGCTTCTGCGTTAGCCTGCCGATTCTGACGGCCGCGTGCGAGTAAACAGCTTTTTGTCTCGTTTTACACTTGAGCAACTAAATAAATGCTAAAGTTTATTTAACTGAATGTATTTTAATGACATTACAACATCGATGCTGTATAAGGAACCGTATAAAATGAGAAATAGTTCACAATAACAGGTCACCGGAAGTGTATCAGCATGGGAACAGCACTAGCTCGGCACATACCCTATTCAACATATCGGAGTAAATTATTCCACATATGATAACGACACCTATAGACATTATTTAGGTGTTGCATTTCTAGATATTTGTCAGGTTTTTGTCCTCAAACTGCTCCTGTGTGTAGGACTAGTTTCTTACTCATCCCATCCAAAGCCTTTTGTTCCGTTTGGTGTCATTTTTGTCTTAGTATTAACATTAAGAATGTGTTTTATTCTGGGCGGCACAGTGGATCAGTGGTTAGCACTGTCGCCTCACGGCAAGAAGGTCACTCGTTCAAGTTCAAGCTTGGCTAGTTGGCATTTCTGTGTGGAGTTTGCATGTTCTCCCTATGTTGGCATGGGTTTCCTCTGGGTGCACCAATTTCCCCTAAAGACATGGGCTATAGGTGAACTGAATGAACTAAATTGACCGTGGTGTGTGTTAATGAGAGTGTATGGGTGTTTCCCAGTACTGGGTTGCGGCTGAAGGGCTCTGTGTAATACATATGCTGGATAAGTTGTCAGGTCATTCCCCTGTGGCGACCCCTGATAAATAAGGGACCAAGCTGAAGGAAAATGACTGTATTTGATTCCTCTTGGTATGTCAGTGTTCATCCATGTGTCACAGAATGACTCACAGCAAATATTTGTAGGTAAATAGACTGGATATTCATGCAACAGTTGTTCTACAGGCATAGTGCAGATTCTTAAGTCTAACATAGCTGTAAGATATGAAACCATTCAATGTAGTGAAATGAAACTGTGGTGTGGTCCAAACCGGCCTGAAACTACTTTAGCTGTGTGCTTATATGAAAATTATGGCACACTATTGAATTTCAATCAGCCAATTTAGATGCAAGCAATCAATAGCTTCATAGTACAAACACATACTGTCAAGCCTGAAATTATTCATACCCCTGGCAATTTTTGACATAGAATCTATAGAAATTAAAAATGTAAAACAGGAAACATGTTGAGACCATGGTTATTGTTTACGTCTCTCAAAATAATCTGTATATATGATGTGATATGATAGTAGATTATTTATTCTTATTATGATTATTAAACCGCAATAACCAATCACAACAACGAATTCATTTTGATAATATTGTTTTTTTATAGGTGCGAAAAGCAGTGGAGATGGGTGTTGCTGCAGGAATTAGCTTCGGAGTCCTTGCTTATGCTGTTGTAAAGATCTTTGGTTCAAACAACAAAGAGAAGCAAACACAATGAACAGTGGATAATAAAGAGCTATTGCTATTGCTAAAGCTATTGTTGATGACTTTTTTTGAAATATAGTTTGGGGCATTTTATCTAATTTATTTTGTATGTGTCGTTTGGTTTACCATGTTTACATTGTAATCCCTGTATCATTATAAATATTTCTAAAACCGTATTGTTAATAACACACCATAAAAAAAGTCTGTTAAGAATTTCTGTATTTTGTGAATCATAAGCGTTTTCTGTTTATTTATGGTTGTAAATTGCATTATGAGATGTTGATCTCTGCTCTGTCCACTTTTGACGATGAAAATTCAACTCTGCAGTTTAACAAAATTAATTTTCTTGACATTTTAGTATAGTTTGAAATAATATGATGTATAAGAAATGATATTTAGAGAAATAAGTTTGTGAAATAATAGAAAATAAACTGGCAGTTTATTACGAGGGTTTAGTAGTATAAAATACAACAGCAACCCAGACAATATTTCACTTAAAACTATTCAAATTTTTTAACAAAAGTCAAACTTTTCAATGTTAAAAGTTGCAAGAAAGGTCAAGCTCCCATAATGCAATTCAAAAGCACAAACAAATGGCAAAAAATAAAAACATGAACCACATTATATGGAAATGCTTGGCTCACAAACATGTATAAATGTTCATAAATGTAATGTAAAGCTGTTTACAATGAAATTAACTGTGTCTGACATAAATCTGATAACAAATAAAACTTGATTTGTGGTGATGCAGTCAAGATGAGTTAAGATTATTTCTGAAATAGATGTAATAAGTAATATAAACAATATTACAAATATATAACTATTATGCATAACTATTGAACATTAATACAAAAATAAGTATTAGTGAAAATTACTGGTAAGTAAATAGTCAAAACATATAAAATAAAACAATATAATTACTAATATTTCACTCTGGGCAAATTAACTACCCTTTCGTTAGGTTTGTGGCTGTTTTTGCCCCATTGACTTCAATTATAAAGACATTTTTTGATTGCAAAGCCATGATACACATAATCATCCATATTCTTGATTGTTGCCGATTTTCCCTCTGGGTGGAGGTAATTTTAATTTTTTTTTACTGTTGATCATCAGTTGCAATAGCAAAAAAATAAAACATGTCTGAGGAAACATAAATAAGCAGCTCAGCTCTCAAAACATAAGTGTATTATGCAAACACACACACACACACACACACACACACACACACACACACACACACACACACACACACTATAATATGTTGTTTTAATTCATATAAAAGCCAAAAACTTTTTAGCACAGGGATATATAAAGGGTTAATGCTGACAACTGATGATCAACACAATAAAAAACACAGTAAAAACGACAAATTGTACCCATTCGGGAAAACAACCGACAAACAACAATGCATAACTACCTATATACAATGTCTTTGAGATGTCTTTGTACTATGTCTTTGTCATTATATATAATGTAATGTAATGTAATGACATATAATGTAAGCCAATGGGGCAAAATCATCAACAACTATAACGAGAGGGTTGTCAATTTGAACAGGACACAAGGGTTAGCACAGCATGGTCACTTTAAAAGGGCGTTCGTCAGCCAATGATCGCTATCAGCGCCGACTAGCTCTGCGCGCTGATTGGCCGAAGCTTTTCTCTCATCCTCCACATCAGCTGATTTCTGCGCTCTGATGTTATTTTTTACCTCAGACGGACAAATACAGCGGACTGGAGTGTACACATACACGGACTCAATCTGACATCTCTGTAAGTACAAGTCAGTAATTGATACAAATGTGTTAAGATATTACGAAATGAAGACCGTGTGTAAAGCCTGGGATAGTATGGAGTGGGAATTTGTTTGTTTATCAAGACCGTTGTCTAGATAGACGTCAAGCTGTTTTTATAGTCTGATTTTCATTTTAGTGTCGATTTTTTATTATTTAACTTACGCATATGAGATTTGATTTCCAGAAAATGTACATGGTGGTTTATGTTCTGTTATTTTATGGACAAATAGCCTAGAATTAAACGTATATTTGACGTTAAAGTGCTTGAGCTCGATTGTTTTTCTCCTTAGGACTGAGGAAACGTTATAAACGAAAAGTTCGTTGAGGTTGCCATGGCACCGACAAAGGTAAATATCATTTAATAATATGAAACAACTGGAATAATACTGAAATATAACATTAAATGACATACAGTATCATTTTAGTGCTGCTGGCATTGATGAAATCATGCTGTTTGACACTTTTGCACAGTTTGGTAATCATGCTGCTTATTATTGCTCAAGGCTCAAGGTCTGTAACGACACAAATATTACAGATTACATACAATAACGTGACACCTCTGTGAAAGTATCGGTATGACATCCACAGATAACAAACACACTTTCACTTTCTGTTTTTTAGCCATGTACAAGAAGAGAAATGGGTTTTGAGGTTAATTTGGCTAAAATTACCATTTTGAGTATTTTGCAGGTGATGATGGTTAACATTATGTGCTTAATTTTAGAGATGAACAAATATTCATTTTAAAACTTATTTTGAAGATTAAAAATCAGCTTAAAAAAAATATATATATAATTGTGTGTATATATATATATATATATATATATATATATATATATATATATATATTTACTATTTATTTTTTTATTTTTTTAATCAATGTGATTTGTGTTATTAACTGTCTCAAGTTTACAGACGCAGAAAAGTGTGTCGTCACTGCTCATATGCTACTCATCAAAAAAATAAATGAACTTCAAATGAGTTTAGATTTTGTGTAGATCTTCCTTGATACAAGAAGTAGTAAAGTTAATTTTACTAATTTGAAAAATAGGTTAAATTAAGACATTTTGCATCACATTTACTTTACAAAATAGATTGCATATTCAAAAGAATGCTATAAACCAGTGGTTCTTAAACTGTGGTACGTGTACCACTAGTGGTACGCGGGCTTCCTTCTAGTGGTACGCGGACGAATGAAATATGTCTTGTACATGCTTCACACATTTCCAAGTTTACCAAAAATGATGTATATAATATGCCATATATGACATATAGCCTATATTTCTGAGGTAATCTGCCATGATCTTTCTAACTGTGCAGTTAGCTGCTTTACTGGGCCTATTACGCTACTGTATTTCAACACTACTCATTTTGGTGGTACTTGGAGAGACAAATTTTTTCTAAGGTGGTACTTGATGAAAAAAGTTTGAGAACCACTGCTATAAATTAACTTATTCTGCATAACATCAATTTGTGTAAAAATGATTCATGATACTTATAAAGATAAATCAAGATACTTTTAATACTTAATCATAATACACATTTTGCATCACACTTACTTTATTAAATAGATTTTCTATTCAAAAGAATGCTGTAAAGTAACTCATCATTCTGCATAACATCAATTAGTGGAAAGATGAATCATAATACTTATTTATTTAACCTGTACTTATTAAAATTTGTATAAGTAGAACATATGATATATTTATAAAGATTTAAAATTTGTATTTCAGTATATTAATTAGTATTTTGTATAGTGTTTTGTAAAGTTGTTTTGTATATTTATTAGTAATTATTTTATTTAGTAAATTAATTAGTATGTTAATTAGTATTTTTGAGCTGAAAGTTTCAGTAATGAGTTTTGGCAGAGGCAATTTTATATGATGTCACTACCGAAACTTCACCAAAATTTTGGTAGTGAGAGTTTTGGTAGAGACTTTTTTATTAATTCTCACTACTTGAACGGTTGATGAAGTTACTTTTGAGCCAATAGTTTGACATTGTGGGCTCTATTTTAACGGTCTAGGTGCAAAGTCTGAAGCGCAGGGCGCAAAAGCGTTAAAAGTTGTGTCCAAAACCACTTTAGCTATTTTAAGAAAGGGAAAATTTGCTCTGGTATTTCTTATCTCCTATTCCCTTTAAGAGTCAGCTGCGTTGCTCCATGACGCATTTGCTATTCACATGGCGGACTTTGTAAGTGGAAAAACTGAACACTTTAGTTAAGAAAATAGTAAAACAGCATCTGCAGCAAGAGGATAATGAGCCTCCTCCATTCAGCCTTTACTTTCACTTTCTCTCTTTCGTGGATAAGGAAACAGTGTTCCAGCAGATTTATGCTAAAATATTTGAAATATATTTTAATCTAAGACATTTTTACAGCAGTTTAATTTCGTGCATCCCTAACATAACAAAAGGAAAGTAAATTTGCCCAGAGTGTATTGTTGAGTTTAAAAAAAAAAAAAATTCAAAGCATTTTCCCAAAATAGCTGTCAAAATGTCACCAAAAATCATTACACTAGCTGAAACAGAAAAGGTTATGGCCAAATTAAGACTCAGTATCACTCCAGAATACATAAAAACATCCCCAACAGCACATTAGGGTTAATCTCAAATGTTATTAAACCTTATAATATCCTAATATTCACTAGTGAAACGGCTCTTATGTTGTCTCCTAGTTTGATCAGAAGCCAGAGCCCGGAGATCTGATTGAAATCTTCAGAGGTGGATATCAGCACTGGGCTATATATGTGGGTGAAGGTTATGGGATTCACCTGGCTCCACCCTGTGAGTTTGTTTTAAATGCTTCATTTATTGAGCTTTATATTGAAGGTTATTTCTTTTAAAGCCTTATAGATGTCATCTGACTTCTTTCCTCACAGCTGAACATGCTCAAGCTGGAGCCTACAGTATGATGTCAGTGCTGTATGACAAAGCCATAGTGAAGAAAGAAGAGCTTTATGAAATCGTTGGCAATGATAAATATCAGATCAACAACCTCCTGGATGACAAATATGAGCCACGAGATATTTGTGATATTCTGCGGGACGCGCACAGCCTTTTGGGGCGAGAACTTCCATATTGCGTGTTTAGTGGGAACTGTGAGCACTTTGTTACGGAGCTGAGATACGGAAAGGCTCACTCTCGACAGGTACAGATTGAATGTATTCTGATAATATTGCCTGTGCATATTAAGGATAAAAACTATAATAATATACTAATTCCGATACTATAGTAAAATTTTTCTTATTTTTTTTTAAATGCCAGTAAATAACAAATACATTTAAAATGGTAAAAATATAAATGTTTTAACTATTTAAATATCTGGCTTCTGTTTGATCAGATTTTCAAATGTGATTTCAAAGCTGAAATATTTGCATCATTACTTCAGTCACATCATCATTCAGAAAACATTCTAATATGCTGATTTGCAGTTCAAGAAATGTTTATAATTATTATTATAAAGGTTTAATAACGATTAAATATTTATTCAGGATTCTTTGATGAATGGAAAGATCCAAATATCAGCCTTTATTTGAAGTAGTTTTCAATATAATAATAATAAACGTTTTTTTAGAGCACCAAATAATTTCTCAAGGATGTGACGAGTAATAATGCTAAAGATTCTGAATTTAAAACTTGTAAAATAGAAACCGTGTATTTTATATGACATTTTTATATTTTCGTTGTATCTTAGATTTAATAAATGCAGGCTTAGTGAACAGTCTTCAGTTTAGAACAGTGTTTATAAAACATTAACTGGTAGTGTACACTCAGCGGCCACTTTATTAGGTACACCTTACAAGTACAGGGTTGGACCCCCTTTTGCCTTTAGAACTGCCTTAATCCTTTATGGCATAAATTCAACAAGGTACTGGAAATATTTCGAAGAGATTTTGGTCCATATTGACATTATAGCATCACGCAGTTGCAGCAAATTTGTTGGCTGCACATCCATGATGTTAATCTCCCGTTCCACCACATCTCAGATGTGCTCTATTGGATTGAGCTCTGGTGACTGTGGAGGCCATTTGAGTACAGTGAACTCATTGTCATGTTCAAGAAATCAGTCTGAGATGATTCCTGCTTTATGACATGGTGCGTTATCCTGCTTAAAGTAGCCATCAGAAGAAGGGTACACTGTGGTCATAAAGGGATGGACATGGTCAGCAACAATACTTAGGTAGGCTGTGGCGTTGACACGATGCTCAATTGGTACTAATGGGCCCAAATTGTGCCAAGAAAATATCCCCACACCATTACACCACCACCAAGAGCTTGAACCACTGATAGAAGGCAGGATGGATCCATGCTTTCATGTTGTTGACGCCAAATTCTGACCCAACCATCCGAATGTCACAGCAGAAATCAAGGTTCATCAGATCAGGCAACGTTTTTCCAATCTTCTATTGTCCAATTTTGGTTAGCATGTGAACTGTAGCCTCAGTTCAAAGCCACTTAAATCAGCTTTCTTCCCCATTCTGATGCTCGGTTTGAACTGCAGATCGTCTTGACCATGTCTACATGCCTAAATGCATTGAGTTTCTGCCATTTGATTGGCTGATTAGACATTTGCATTAAAAAGCAGTTGGACAGGTGTACCTAATAAAGTGGCTGGTGAGTGCATATCTAAAGCATCACAGAGGAACGATATTGTTCCAGTTTTTTCGTAACCACCTGTTAAATAATAAAAACTTTAACAGCCAATCACAATTCATCCTGCTTTTAAAAGTGGCTCATGTTATTAAATGATATCATCAATTGTGGACATTTGGTTTACATAATCAAAATTCAAAAATAATCTTGAACTATATAGTAATTTTTTAAGGTAATTCTGCATTTGATCTATTTTGACAGGTGCGAAACGCAGTGGAGGTCGGTGTTGGAATTGGTGTTGCTGCAGCCATCGGTGTCGGGCTTCTTGCAGCTGCAGCTGCCATTTTTGGTCCAAAAAACAAAGATAAGCAAACACACTGAGGACTGGCAAATGCAGAAGTGAAAAGCACAACTGAGGAGGCCTTTCGTTTTTAAAGTGAAAATAAAACATTGCACTTAGTAGAAGAAAAAATGTAAATAACAGAACATGAGATCGCCAGCAACCAAAATCCCATCAGTTCTGTCTGATAACAAAAGTGTACTTTGATATATTGCTAAACTTCTAATGCCTGAGGCAGTTTTAAATCGTTTTGATATCACACATTTCCCTTTCTACTGGTTTAAAAGCACTTTATGCTAAGTTGAATATATATAAAAATATAATATAAGTGATTGCACCTTTATTGCAGTGATTAATACGCGTTGCTCAAATCCTTCATAGTCTCTTATGTCTTCAACTGTGTAAAAAGATGTTCCCATGGCCATATTCCAGAAAGACAGTGCCAAATATTATTGTGAAAGGAGGCTTCATTTGCCATGAATTGAACACAATTGGCCTGAAGCCTATTGAGCGTCTGGAGTAACTTTGGTGTTTCTCCTCAGGCTCAGAGAATGGGTCTGATCCAATTATCCATACTAATGTAAATTTAAAAAAAGAAGCCCAAAGACGGAAATTAATAAGTGAAACTGCATGAGGTTGGGGAAACAATGCAATGATAAATCCATCCTCACTGTCTGACCCCGAGGCCTGACATTGTTTTATTTTGATGTGATTTCTCTTTCTGCTGGTTTCCTAATGATATTTCAAGCACTTTAATAACTGTAGAATAACTATAGGATGAACGGTTGGTTTGACCAAATTAATCTTCAAGTAAACTGCCATGTTTCTATTTTTGAGCCATTAAATCTTTGACATTGTATACTCAAGAGTTGTGCATTTCTTTGGTATTGTCATAATATGCATGTCTGAGTGCTGATTCTTACTTTAATTCTGTAACGTCCCTCTTTACACAAGCTTATCTTGAGATCTCGGTCTCACTGGCCTGCAGTAATTACATCCGCTCAATGAGAGCTTTGTTACCACTTCTTGCTAAATACCGAATTCTTGTGACTACAAAGCAGTGGGAAATAAACACAACTGACAGCAGAGACAATATCTGTTGAGCTAGTGGAGCACATGAAAAGCAAAACAAATCAAGTTCGGCTCATTTAAAAACAATTATGACACACTGTTGATTACCATAAAGACTGATGTTGCCTCATTCCTTATTTTATATATATATATATATATATATATATATATATATATATATATATATATATATATATATATATATATATATATATATAAATCAAATAAATAAATAATTTGTGCTTAATTTATGCCGAAAATGCTGGATCCGGATACAGCACCTCTGAAATCTGATCCGGCACCTCATTTTACTGATCCCCCTCCTCCCCCGTCCGCTGTTCACTTTCACTTTGTTCTTCGACTTCCCAGCCCTCTTCATTTTCGTCCGCGACAACCAACCCCCACCCTGGCTTTTGTCTTACATCCACATCACCCCTCTGCTATCCAATGCCCCGCTATTCCCCCAACCTACCCCTCTCCATTTTCGTGTGCAACACCTTTACAACCTCAGGTGGCATGCAGGATCCGTTACCCCGATCTGTTCCAGGACCTCGCGATTTACAGATTAAGTACTGGGGACACTACACTGTCAGTCAGCAATGTTTTCGGATGAGACGTTAAACCGAGGTCCTGACTCGGTGTGGTCATTAAAAATCCCATGGCACTTCTTGTAAAGAGTAGGGGTTTAACCCCCATGTCCTGGCCAAAATTCCCTCCATCGACCCTTACTCATCATGGCCTCCCAATCATCCCCATCCAACTAATTGGCTCTATTACTCTCTCTCCACTCCACCTATAGCTGGTGTGTGGTGAGCACATTGGTGCCGTTGTCCTGTGGCAGCCGATGCATCATCCAAGTGGATGCTGCACACTGGTGGTGGTGTGGAGAGACCCCCTCATGATTGTGAAGCGCTTTGGGTGTATAGCCATACACAATAAATGCGCTATATAAATACAGATTACTTTGCTTGTTCCATTTTTTGTTTTTTAATTGATTAATCAAATATTATTATCACTAATATTTTGAATAGTTCTTATTTTATATTAAGAGGCCTTAACTACTAAGTACTTGGATAAAAAAAAACAACAACACTGATGTATGTTACGGATAAGTTTAGAAACAGATTTGGTGATATGGGAAGGTTTAGGGGTTAATGTGATCACTTAACAATGTAATTAGAAATGTGACAATGTACATGTACAGAAATGTTCAATGTAAAAACAGTTAGGTACAGTAAGTGCACCAAATTATTAATATATATATATATATATATATATATATATATATATATATATATATATATATATATATATATATATATAAAGTATAATATGCATAGTAATTACAGCCTCTAGATATAAAGACAGGGTGAATATTAACAGAACAGAACTTTTACCATACTGCACAGCAGTTCCACGACCACATCCACCATCCCTTTAGATAAACATTTGCACATTAAACACTGGACAAAGATAAGGAATTAGATCATTTTGACATACGACTTGACTGTTGAACAGAGATAACTTGTCTGCTTTCCTTGTTTTGACACCAGTGTAACGGTTTAACTGAACTTGACTTACATGCAAGCAATAAAAACATTACATTTACCAACCAGTATTTTGATGAAAGAAAAATGTGTACATGTGTGTCCTTCAAATAGTGGCAGTTGTATTTATGGGCTGAAAAAATTATTAAGATTTGTATGCTATTTATATACACTGCGAAAATTGCTTCTCCTACTACTACCTAAGGATTTGGCAACCCTGTTTGTGATTATTATTATATTTTTAATACCATGTGATAAAAAAAACATACTTCATTGCAAAAATGCGTTCTTTCCTAGTTTTTTTTGTTTAATTTTTAGTCCAAATATCTAAAAATTCTTAAACCAAGAAGCATTTTCTAGGCAAGCAAAAATATTGTCCTGTTTTAAGAAATAATGAGTGTTTGAAGAGTTTTGACATGGCGCGTCAAAAAAAAAAAAAACTGCATAAAAGGCCTTGCACACAGAGATGTTTTTTGCTCATGTTTTCCGTAAACGTTTAACGCCTCGTGACTAAATAAAGAGCGCTAATGTGATCATGCACACCAAAACGCCAGGTGAACAGCGGCATGCTCGTTTTTTTTTTGCTCGTGTTTTGTTCACGTGCACGGAGCTGCTGAAGTTACAGTAAACAGCACTTGGATGCGCTCAAGCTCAAAACTGTCAATGTGAGCGCACACTGAACAAGATGCCCAGAGGCGATATGAACGTGGAGCTGCTTATTGCTCTGGTGAACAATAATCATTTCTTCATCACTAGAGTTAGAGCTGCTGCTTGAACCATTCATAACAACAAGCGTGTCAACTTTGTGCTCTTCTGTGTTTCAAGCAAGTGTCCTTAAAGTTGTTTAGCGCCATCTAACGTTAACAAGTGATTTTGCAAACTCTTCTGCTCGACGCCAGTGAAAATCGCTTGGGTTTGAATCCGAAAAAAACAACTTGAAAAACGCTGACGATAAACGCAGAAGAAAAGCGTCCCAGTGTGTACGAGCCTTGAGCCGTTTTTTAAAAATGACGTTTTTGCGCCTCTTTTGCACGTTGGTGTGCTCGATCACATTGACGCCCTTTATTTAGTCACAAGGTGTTTAACGTTGACGGAAAACGCGAGCAAAAAAAGTCTCGGTGTGCACGGGCCTTAAGACTTTTTGAAAATGCTGCTTGACTGCAGAACAACCAACACATCTCAATAAAGAGTTCAGCTTGTAACGAGTCTCCTGGCCTGGGTTCTCATATTTCCAACAATGGCAAAGACAAAAAATGTATGTATGTTTTAAATGTTCTGCTTAATGTACATTTCACATTTGACTTCAGCTGTATATTTAATATGCAACAGATATTTTATTGCATGAGACCTCAGATATATTCATAAAAAAACAATACTTACTTGATGCCAAAATAACAATGGCACGTACACATCTCCCGTTCTGTATTTTTGGAAAGCGGCACTGGGTGTTTCAGCGAGTTCAATGAGACCTTTGTCACCATGTGCTGGAAAAATAAATCTGAGAAACAGTCTTGAGTACAGCACATTTACAAAGACAGACTCTCCTCTTTATTATCATACATATATGATGCTGGATTTTACATGTGTGTGTGTTTGTAGATACAGTACATGAACCGCTCCGTCTGAAAATATTGCACCAGATCTCATTGACTGTCATTAGCTTAATAATAAAAAAAATCCTCTGTTGATTTGTTTATTTGACAACATAAGCAGTACCGCCTACTAGGAACGAAAGAGAAGGCACAAACCAGAAAAAACAAAAACATCCCGTCGTATGGCAAACCAAGAAAAATACGCCGCGTCTTCAGTCCAATGGATCCTTTGTTTTGAAAATATTCATCTGTTTATACATGCAATATTAATGGCATCGTCCCATCCATGATCACGAGCCTCAAATCCACATTTTGGGAAAGTAAACGGTCCATATTTAATCATTATACATACATATAAAGAGATCTACGATTATAACATTCTTATTTCCCTCTCCTCCTAGCGCTTCTCAAACCAGTGAGTTCATGCACACTCAGTAAACTATGATATTGTGTGATATAAAAAATGGCGTACTGTGAGGAGGGTAAAGGAATATCATAGTTTATGGTGTGTTCGGGCTCCTCCGTCACGGAATGTTTCTTTAAAACCATCTTTTCATGGTCAATGATCTGCTGTACCTCCAGTGCTCAGTCCAGTTTGCGTGCGCCCAGTTTTAGAGGTCCCTTGGCTGCCTTGCGCTCGGCCCGTTTGGCCTCCAGCTCCTTCCGTCGCTCTTCTCGTTTCTTCTTCGCCAGTTCTGCTTTACTTAAACCTGAGAAAGCAAAGGAAAGCAAGGTTGTCTGGACAGCTGTTTCCTATTGCATTAGACCTCAAAATCAAAATAATGTATGATTAAAATGACATAACATGGGGTATATGTATATATCAGATGTCGCGTTAACCGAATATTTTCCATCATTGACAGATTTTTCTCAGCAGATGTGTGTCTAATACAAAATAATATATTTATTATATTTTTCTTTTTTCCCCCTTTTAAATACCGATTATTTGATGCGCTTTGCACAACTCTCTGTATTATGCTGCCTGACTGCCTGTCTGGGTTTTAACTAGGTCCGCGATTTGACGTCATGGGGGCGGGTACTTTCATTTTCACTGCTACACCTGCTCACCTCTGCTCGTGTTCAAACCAAAAGATCAGCGCGGTTTTTCACATGGCAGATTTTTACGTCCTTCATACATGTTGAGATCGAGTTTATTGACTTGATAAGGGAATATGTCTTGACAATCCACACAGACGTGACTTAGTAAAGCATGAAGTCATGTAGGATTTTACTTGTTGCATTCGTCTGAATGTAAATCCCCTCATCAGGCAGTGCTGCAGTAGTGTGAGAGAGTGGACCAAAGCGCGTTTGATGCAAAGGTATTAACAAAAGAAAAATACACAATTTAACACAACACTTAAATGTTTGTATTTGTTGTTTTTGCACCAGCTCAGCGATGCATGCCCACAACTTCATGCATTGGGTTAAATTAGGCTGTCCAGTCTGTGTTCAGTCCGTCACTACCATGATTGAAACCCAGACAGGCTGTGAAGCAGGTCACACACCAGAGGCACCGCGACACGCCGCGAACATGACAGTTTAAAGTATCACACAACAGACGCGCACATTCACATGATATTTAACATGAAACTAATCAGATGGCGCTTTATGGCACGGCTGAAATATGAACTGCGTTCTGAGTCGTCTGC